ATCTTAAGCAGCAAAGTTCTTAAAAATTTTGTTCGCCAAGCCTCAAGGCAGTTTGGCAAGTCTGTTCAGATTATTTAGGCCGACAATGGTACCGAGTTCCCGTCTAATGAAATGCTTGACTTCTATATTGATGAGGGTATCCGCCTACAAATGTCCTGCGTTGACACGCCTCAGCAAAATGGCGTTGTCGAACGCAAGCACATACACATTTTGGATACAACCCGGGCATTACGTTTCCATGCAAATTTTCACAAGAAGTTCTGGGTACAGTGTGTTCTTACTGATGGTTATTTGATCAATCGTCTTCCGCATAGTACTATCGGGAATCAGACCCCCTACGAACGCCTGTTTGGGCATCGTCCACGCTACTCCTATTTGCGTTCGTTTGGTTGTCTGGCATACTCTAAGGATACCCATCCTCATTTGGACAAGTTTGGTGAACGCGGTCACCCTTGTGTGTTTCTCGGGTATCCCTCTTCTCAATGGGCTACCGTGTGTTTGAGCTGTCTTCCTGGCGGATTTTCACCTCTGGAGATGTTGTGTTTGAGGAACAAATTTTCCGATTCCAAACACTGTCTAGTGATATTCAACCACTTCAGTTGCTGCATTACATCATGATCCCATCTCCTCTTGCTGCCGACGACGAGAACTTTGTGATGTTGAGGCACCTGTTGCTGCTGATGACGAGGACTCCCTTCTTCGGTCTTCTCCTGCCTCCACTACTCAATAGTTATCGCTTGCTGCCTCCCCTACGCCCACGTCGTCTTAGTCCGACCATACTTCACCACCCGGCGAGCTTTCTTCTACCAGCTCCACTCCACCTGTCACGACGCAGACTCGTGCAGTTCTTGTTGTTATCTTCCAGCGCAGTGCCAGGGTTTGGTAGCCCTCTGTTCGTCGCTAAGGTTATGATACTCACTTCCGTTCTTCCCGTACTACTTTTGTCAAGTATCCTCTCTCCGCTTATATCACTTTTGAGCGTCTTTCTGGTAATCACCAATTTTTTTTGGCAGCGATGGATGCCTCCGTTGAACTCTAGTTTTTCAATGATGCCATCAAGCTTGCCTATTGGCGTGAGGCCATGCAACGTGAGATTGCAACCTTGGAGACCAATGGCCCTTGCGATTTGGAAGAGTTGCCTGCAAATGGGTCTACAAAATAAAGTTTAATCCCGACGGCAGTTTGAGTGCTACAGAGCGCACCTAGTTGCCAAAGGATTCACTTAGGTTGACGGGGTGGACTACCTCGATACCTTTGCTCCGGTCGCCAAATTGGCACTGTTCGTACTGTCCTTGCTGTTGCTGCTCATCGTGGTTGGCATCTTCGTCGGATGAAAGTCAACAACCCCTTTCTTCATCGATTTCTGCATGAAGAGGTATATATGAAGCTACCTTGGGGATTTGCTCGACCAGGGGACAACCAGGTTTGCCGTCTTCGAAAATCTCTCTATGGTATAAAACAAGCCTCTCGGAATTGGTACATGAAGTTTACATATTCTCTCTAGGAGTTTGGCTTCCAATAATCAAAGTCCGATCACTCTTTCCTCACTTATCACCGTGGTGGCTATTTTATCTTTGCACTTATATATGTGGATGATATTATTCTGGGTGGCAATGACCTAGCCACCATTCAGCGTGTCAAAGGTTTCTTGCATGACCGGTTTAGCATCAAAGACTTGGGGCACTCTGAAGTATTTTTTGGGTATCGAGGTAGCTCGCGCTCAAAGTGGATTAGTACTCTCTCAAAAATATACTCTTAACATTTTGAAGGACGGTGGGGCTCTCGCTGCTAATCATTCCTCCTTTCCTATCGAGCAGAACGACAACTTTACCCGGATTAAAGGTCCTGCGGCCAAGGATCCCTCTGGTTTTCGTCGCCTCGTTGGTAGTCTGTAGTATTTGATTGTCTATGCCCTTAACATTTTGAGTCAGGCTATTTATTCGCCTCGTCAGGAGCATGAGGATGCAACTTATAGCGTACTTCAGTACCTCAAGGGTGCACCCGGGCGTGGTCTTCGTTTCTCTACCACAAGACCGCTCCAGTTAACAGCTTACTGTGACGCGGAATGCGGTGGATGTTGTTGGGAGAAAAGCTTCTCATTAGCTTGAAAGTAGCTTGATGTGAAAGCTATTGGAGCAACATGACATTGAAGAAAGGAGGAAGCTGCAAATCATACTCAAGGCCTCACGAGATTCACAGCTAGCACAAGCTGGGAATATTCAGCAGCTTCAAGTACAACGGCCACAAAGCACAAAAGGAAAGAATATAAATTTGCTTGCAGTGAGATCAATCAAGTGAGAGCAAACAAGGAAGGTTCCGGGAGCAGAATGGTTGAAGAAACAGTATAAATAGAAGAGACCAAAGGCTAGTTACTGCAGGCTTTTTGGGTGAATCAAAATCAGAGTGCTAAGGGGTGTGAGCAAGATCATGAGTGAAAAGCCGGCACAGGAGTCGGGGAGATTTCTAGGTATAAGTATTGGGCAATACCAAGGTTCTATCAGATGGGTAGTTGATAGGTTAGTTTCGTCGATTCAGCAGGGAGCTAATCCACTAAGTATTTGAGAGTTTTTTGTAACTTTGTGAGCTTCATCGAATCATCCTTAGTGCGTTGTCTGAGATCACACAACGTGATACCCGGACCGTGGAATAATCAGTGTTGAGATCCTTATTGTCTCACCACTAGAAACCACGTAAAAATTCGTGAGTGGTGTCATCTTTTTATTCTCTGCTTTTTCAGTGTTCTTGCTCTATTCTTCTAGTGTTATTAGTGTGTTCCAAGTACATGGGAGCTCTTTGATCTTTCATAACCAAACTCACTCCACCCAGAAGGTTTGTCAATACAGTGAGTTTTTATGAAAGTAATTGTGGTGGGCTTTGGGAAGTGATTTCTGTATTTATACTTTTGTAAGGGTTAATCAAATAAAAGAACAAAGGTTTTGGGCCCAAGGGTTAAACACCCAATTCCTGTGTGACCAAAGAAACGGAGAAGGAGTGTTTGCTGGTTTCATTTTCGATCAAACACAAGTTTTGTTGTTCTCTCTCACGTGTTCTTGGCTGGAACGCAGAAGAGGGATTTGCAGGTACCGAAATCACAGACGTAGAAGAAGAAGAAAGGCAAAACCGTCTAGCACTCGACGACCAACAGTTGTCAGCACATCCGTTTCTCTACCATGGGGTATTTCATCAGTCTGGGTGGCAGCCCGATTTCTTGGTCCATTAAGAGCAGTCCGTTGTTGCTCGGTCCTCCGTCGAAGCAGAGTATAGCCATCGCTAGTACCGTTAGTGAGCTCATTTGGCTCCGGTGGCTACTTAGCGAATTGGGTGTGTCCAGTTCGGCTTCGACACTGCTACATTGTGACAATCAGGTAGTGCTTCACATTTTTGCTAATCCTGTGTTTTATGAGCGTACAAAGCACGTTGAGATGGATTGCTACTCTGTCAGGGAACGAGTAACGTCTAGTGAGATCGCCCCTCACAAGATTTCTTCTCACGAACAGGTAGCCGACATGTTTACAAAAGGCCTTGGTGTGGAGCAGTTTAGCTTTCTGACTTCCAAGCTTGGCATTCTCGATAATTTCATGCCTCCGCTTGATGGGGCTTGTTACGGAGTACGTATTATATTACGAAGTACGCAGTAGTAGCATGATTTATGCGTACCATTCTTAGTTGTCAGATTTGTTTTTACTTGTGGACTAAATGGGTTATTCGCAATTCTTAGGTGATTGTGGAGGATTTTGCGAGCCCTATATATATTTGCAGCCATGCTGCACGCCGGATGTAAGTTGTGCAACAAGAACAAAAATCCTAATAATACTAAACCGAAGGCTCCTTGTGTGAGCCTTCCGTGGACTAGTCTCGTTCATAAGAATGAGGATACAACGTAAATCTTCGCGTTGTTGTTTTCATTTCTTGAGTTTTAGCATAGGTTACCGTCAATAGTGGTATGATATTTACCCCTTTCAACCCATACAAACTCAAAATATCCTTTTTCGCAGTTTTTCTACTAGGAACAACAAAGTGAGGTTGCAGAGAACATAAAAATCGTTTGAAACCCACATGACCAACAAGACTAATGGGGTACTCAAGGACCAGAATCATGGAACAAAGTTCCTTTCTAGAAACCTCATAATTGTATTGAGAAGCAGAGAGTTGAGAATTTCCAGTAGGTTGATAGTCGGGGTCAAGTATTTTTTTAGAACCATCATGTATCCTCTTATGGTTTTATATGGTTTATGATCGCTCGTAACTAACACAGCCACACAGGAACCATCATGTATCCTCTTATGGTTTGACATGTTTTGATATGGTTTATGATCGCTCGTAACTAACACAGGAAAAATAGCCAAGAGTATCGATCATTCTAGGGCAGTATAGTAGGAAGAAAGGTCGTACCCATAGAGGCTATGTGTACTAGTACTTGGCTTTTACCTATTATTTAGTGAATCGTTTTTAGTGATTTTGTTTAGCTATAAAAATACAATAAAATAGTTTTCAAAGTAAAATCAAGTAGAGAAGGCGTTGTCTCGGTAGTGAATCCCCCTAATATGCATTTTACAGACAATGGGAAATATATTTGAATGGCCTGAACTTTGACTATAATAAACATCCTAGCCAATCTTTTCGATCTATAACATCCTAGCCCAAAATATACATCAAAGTAACGAAATTGGCCAAACCCGTTGTTTGACCGTTAAATTGGATGGTCAACGTCAACGTGCCACATCATTACCAAATCAGCAACTTTCACTTAAATTTTTTTGTAATTTCAACCTATTACCATTTTTATTTTTCATTTTGAACAAAGCAAAACAAAAATTAATCAAAACAAAAAATAAACCCTTCCACTTTCACTCCCCGTTGTCGTCTCCTCTCCAATTCCCTTCCACTCTCCGCTGCCGAACAGTCCCATGACCACCGTCCAACGGTGAAGCCCACTCTCTCAGGTGATCTCACTTCACACTCTCAAATCTATTTCCCCTCCTTTCCCTTCCGTTCCTGCAATGGAAACTTTCACAATCCTTCTCGCCCTCTCAATCTGCCTCCTCTGTGGCCTCTACTGGTTTGTCTGCCTTCTGGGCTTCGCCAATAGAAGAGCAAGCATGCCACCCAGCTCTCCGGTGGCTCGATCTCAGCCGAGAAAGTCCATGACAAGTACCAGCAGTACTGGTCCTTCTTCCGCACCCCATCCCCGATCGAAACCGCCGAGAAAGTCCCCGACATTGTGAAAACCGATTGATTCTTATTAAGTTATAGGTTTTTTATTTGCAGATATGGAAAAAAATAATAAACACCAAAATTGTTTTAGGTTTTAGGTGTTTGTTTGTTCAAAATGAAAAAGAAAAATGATAATAGATGGAAATTATAAAAAAAAAATTAAGTGAAAGTTGCTGACTTGGCAATGATGTGGCGTGTTGACTAACGGTCAAACAACGGGTTTGGCCAATTTCGTTACTTTGATGTATAGTTTAGGCCAAGATGTTATAGATCGAAAAGATTGGCTATGATGTTTATCATTGTCAAAGTTCAGACCATGCAAATATATTAACCCTAAAATCAAGTAGAGAAGGCTTTGTCCCGGTAGTGAATCCCCCTAATATGCATTTTACAGACAAGTTGAATTTAACATAGACGAGTGTTCATATCTTAGACCGTGAAAATTCCCAATTTAGTGTTAACCCGTTCGCACATGTATTAACACCCTTTCGACTTTAGAATCAAGTAAAATCGTAGATTACCAGACTCTTAAACCAAAGCATTAACCAGATATGTGAATTTCTGTATTAGGTTTTTAAGTTAATCCAGAGGAACTATGTGACCCCATCGCCGGTGGCTCCAATCAATTCCTTCTTTTCACAATAGATCTAACATGCTAAATTACCTCGCAGTTTCATTTACATGTATCAGACAAAATATATAATAGACGCGTACTATTGATACTTGCATATGAAAAGTTGAGAAAAGATCTGTAAGAACGAGAGCAACACGCCTATATCAAAGATACCACTCAATTCATGTAAAACATATTAGGGTTCATCAAATTCGGAACAACTAGGAGATTAGCCGGATATGATGAGATTTAGAAAGAGGAAGGTTGAGAACATTACCATGATGATGACAATGGAGACGGAGGGGTCGAGAATACGGTATATATAGTGAGTTAATCTACTACATCTAGCAAACTTCCGATGAGGGAATAATTGTTGGGTGAAGACGGTGGAAACCGACTAATCTACCACAACAAATGATTATCAAAACCCCACAGAACAGAAGCTTACTTCGGTAATAATAATAATGCAATATACCACGATATTCCCAAATAAAAACACGAACATGAGAACCATGATGGATGAAATAATGGATATGATTAACGGAATGAAAACATTAACAAGAGTTTGGAATCGAAATTGACATAGTTTAGGCTAACTTCAAACACAAGAAAGAAGGCTAAATTACATGTTTAGTCACCCAAATTGTATAAATCTTTCACGTTTGCCACATGAATTACTTTTCATTTATATTAGCCACTAACTTTATGATTCGTTTCACCGTTAGTCACCGGCCGTCAGTTTCCGTCAGTTTTCGTTAGCTCCGTTAATTTTTTAAAGACGTGGCAAACGGAACTCATGACTGAACCGTTAACTTAATGAGATGTAAATTAAAAAATTAAAAAATATATATTATTCATTCTCACCGAGCCTCACACCCACGCATCCTCTCCAATTTGTCCGAGTAAAAACAAAACAACAACAACAACAACAACATAATCCACTGCCACCATAAGTAATCATCATAGGCAACAAGAATCAATAATCAATAGTCAAACAACAATATAATAATCAGCCCCACCAGTATCCATCTTTGCCACAAATGATCATCATCGCCAACATAATCTTCATCACCACCAACAATTCAATCTAATTATCCAGTTCACCCAAAAAATCCAAATCAGAACAGCGACAAGATTGAATAGCTTCGCCTAACTGAAAGCTTGGGGTCCGCCGGCGAGAAGAAGTTCAAGCCTACAGTTCGAGCCACAATGGTCTTTTGTTCTACCCAGAACTCCCAAATTGACGTTTGGACTTCGAATCCAGATAGGGTCGACTCTGCATTTTCAGACTGCTCCGCCGTCTTCAACTCCCCTGTACAACGACGGAAACCACGCCCGCGCCGCTTTCGATTCCCCTCGCCTCGCCGCTTAACTTACAGCTCCCCTTCCCCTTGAAGTCGCCTCTAATCGAGAGAGGAAGAAACCAAAGCTCTCATATATGGCTGGAAATTCCAACGAGGGTCGGAGCCAAGTGGGAAAGGGAGTCGCAATAAGACGGCGGCGGAATCGAGGATGAACTCCTGACTAAGGTAATTCGCCACTTGTGGTGCTTTTCGCCACCGTTCTCCTTCTGCCGATTTTGGGGATTTATGTTTCGAAGTGTTGGATTAGGGTCTAGGGATAGGGATATGGAAAGGGAAAGGTTTTACTAATAATAGAGAAAATTGAGTGTGAGAGGAGAGAAGATGTCAGGTTCTATGGCGGCAAGGCAACGGTGGCAGTAGAACAAGGGACGCGACTCTTAGATTGGAAATCTGGGTTGGGAACAAGGAAGGAGGAAGGTTTAGGAGATGAGTTGAGTATTGAGGCTGACTAGACGGTCAATTTGTGTGACTTAGCTTTTTGTTAGTTCATGTAGCACTCTTTTTTGCCATGTCATCAGATAACTGACGGTGTTAACGGAGTTTAACGGAGACTTAAGGTTGGTGACATGAAAGAAAAGTAACGGTGAAACAAATCATAAAGTTAGTAGCTAATATGAAAGAAAAGTAATTCATGTGGCAAACATGAAAGAATTATGTAATTTGATTGACCAAATGTGTAATTTAGCCCAAGAAAGAAAGACCAGAGTTTCAAAGTAGGGGTGTGTAGTGTATCCTTCTTCTCTTGCAAGCTTATATTTATAGGCAACAGCAGCTTTAACGTGGTCTTGGAACACAGCCGTGTTCAAGGCCGTGTTCATAGCTCGACGCCAGATCGATGTGTCAGCATTGCAGAGATTGATTGGCTGAATTTTTTACTCAACATGGTCAGTGAACACGATTGTGTTCCAGACTGTGTTGACTAGTCGGTGGGTGAAATTGTCCGTTGATCTCTTAAAACGTGCAGAAAAGGTCAACGTGCCCAACTAACACGATTGTGAAATGAATGAGAAAAGTGATTCTGACAGTGAACATGACCTAAAACACGGTTGTGTTCATGCCCATGTTACCCCTTTAAAAACTCCTTGATTGTTGTTGGCGTGGTCTTCAACGTGGCAATGTTCCAGGGTGTGTTGCCCTGAACATGGTATGTGAACATGGCCATGTTGCTAGATGTTCATGTTGACGTGGTCTCGGACATGGCCCTGTTGATGCCCACGTTGACCCTTTGAAAGCTCCTTAACTTTTGTTGACGTGGTCTTCAACGTGGCCACGTCCCAGGGTGAGTTACCCCGAACGTGGTATGTGAACATGGCCATGTTGCTGAGGGTGTTGATGTTGACGTTGTCTCAAACATGCCCACGTTGACCCTTTTGGAAGCTCCTTAACTTTTGTTGACGTGGTCTTCAACGTAGCCAAGTTCCAGGGTGTGTTGCCCTGAACGTGGTATGTGAACATGGCCATGTTGCTGCCCACGTTGGTCCTTTTGACAGCTTTTCCTTATATTTAGGAGGAGGCAATTTGACTCTCCAGTTTGCGGTTTGACTCTGCATTGTTAACTACCTCTCTCTTTGCAATTCATCAACATAATACACGGCGGGTTTTTTATATTAACTACAAAAGGGGACACAGCCGGAGTGGTACAGCTCTTTGCACTCGCCTGAGACATTGCGGGCTTGAGTTCCACCAATGCCAGATTTCTAACCATAACCATTTTTCTGTTTAATTGGCTAATTCTTTTGTTCTTATTGGATAGAATACCCTGAAACATCGCTCAAACACAAAACCAAGCGTAGAATCGGGAAATCAAATGAACTTGGTATAATTTAGGTCATTTTAGGATGTAAAAGTGTAGGTGAGTATATGTATAATTCACGTGTTATCAGGTTCTCAAGTGTGAAGTTCCATTACTTGTTTGGCCACCAAGGGGTTTACAACAGTACTTACACCTAGCCTTCATAATCCCATTAATCCTAACTCAGTTGAAGTGAGGCAACAAATTAGAGATGATTTACATTGAGCTTCCATCTCCTCATCATTACCATTAAATAGATTAATTACATCAGGAGCAGGTTGTTCACGTTGAGGTTGGACACCATTTTCAAGGACATTGGCATTAGGAGCAGGTTCAACATTCATAGCAGTAGCACCTTCCATCAGAACATAATCAATATATGTGTTACTAACTAGGTCGTAACTTAACTTTGTTACATTCACAATGACAAGACTAAACTAGCAAACAAGACATCATTTGTAGCAAAATTACCATTACAATTTAATTCTTTTTACTTCTTAGCATTATCAAGCCATAGATTGTCACAACAAGACGCACAACAATGAACAAACACAATGGTCAGACTTAGGAGAGGAGAACGAGAATACCTTCTCGACTTTGAGATTTTTGTGGAGAGTACCCAATAAGAGTAGACTGATGATCACTGCTCCGTGATCACTAACTCTGTTGAGCTGCAGTCCTTGAATACCGATTCAAACGTGTCCAACCTGGCCCAAAAAAGAGTGAACAACGAACAAAAATCAAGTTAGAAATGGATTTCATGCATGCATGTCTGTATTGCACCAATAACCCAGAAAAAGTCGACACGAAATCAAGATCCTTACCCTTAAGGACTAGAATCTATTTGGAGGCTCCCCGGCTTGTCACAATCCCTCTGGTTCTAGATATCAAAAGATGGCGAGATGGTGAGAAACGACCTCAGTACAAGAGTTAGTAGAGATTTTGGGGATACAAGGAAGATAATCAAAAGAAAATAAAAGAACCCATAATTAACTTATCTGTTATTGAAGAATCAATGGTTTGAACTCAAAATGAGTCATTTTTTGGTTTTGCTCTATGAAATCGTCGTCAGTTTGGAGCTCCCTTGGGTTATCCCCATATTTCCGACCTTTGGATCAATGTTGAGTATCCTCCTAGGTCGATCGATCCACTATCCTACCGTTAGGAGATGAACTCCCTCAGCACGGACCCGGAACAGTGAAGTGATGGATGGGTAGGAGCCCAATTCAACCTGGGGAACCC